GGAAGGAAGGAAGGAAGGAAGGAAGGAAGGAAGGAAGGAAGGAAGGAAGGAAGGAAGGAAGGAAGGAAGGAAGGAAGGAAGGAAGGAAGGAAGGAAGAGGGAGGGAGGGAGGGAGGGAGGGAGGGAGAGGAGAGAAAAAAGAAAAAATGATGGAAGGGTACTGTGGTTTCAGTGTCAGATGAAGAAGATGTTCCATCCAGAACTGAAATCGCTTGAGTATATCCATATGTATGGTGAGGCAAAGAACTAGAGGAACTCGGGCTCCTAGTGGTACGCAAACTACAGATGGAAATTCTGTCAACTTCCTGGAGGAATTTATAAAGCTTCCGCCAACCGTGGTGCTGTAATCTCCAGATTCCTGTTCTCAGACACCTGAATCTTCTATTACACAGCCTCAGTGACACAGCAGTACTGGATCTTGTGCTCTACATGTAATTCAGGCAAAGGTGGTGGATACGAGCCCCTTCTGTCAAGGTCCTCACCTTCAGGATCCCACAGGGATCCACATAATCTACATCTATCTACATGAGACTGCTGAGAGAGAGAGTGATATGGCATGTGTTCAATTGCTAACAGTATGTTGCTGACAATCTACTATTTATCTCATTTTCTGATGCAACTATCATCACTATAAAACATCAGAATAACTACAGGAAATTAGCTCTTAAATGAAGAACAGATGGATCAAACTGAATCCAGACAAGACCAAAGTGGTGCTTCTTTGCAAAGGGAAACACATTGAGGACCTCCACCTTTTTATGATGGGAAACAGCCATTCTTTCTTCAGTTGCATGGAAATTCAAGGTCCTCTTTGACTCCTCAAAAAACTTGGATGCATATGCTTTTGGTAGCATATGCTTCCAAGTACATATTATTTCTCCTCTAGCTTGTCCCCTCCCCCCCAGACAAGAATCTGGCCCGTATGGTCAATGTATCAGTCACCTACAGACTAGATCACCATATTTCATGGTAAGTAAAAAGAAATGAGAAGGTGAAGTGCAAATTCTAGTTGCTACAAAATGTTGCTACCCATTTTTTGCTCAGATAAAACTCCTAGGAGCATTTTTACCCTATGACTTTTCCAGCATCCATTATAAACCCAAAATATAGCTTGTGAAATGTAATAGTCACAGTCTGCCTAATTAAATTTCAGGAAGAGATAAAGGCTGATTAACAGATAGACTAGGGGAAAAAATAAATAAATAAACCACACACCTATGAAGGGGCCTCGGAATAGAATTTTTTTTAAGTACACACACAGCAGTTGAGGCTATGGGGAGAACTCTTCATGAAACAGAGAAAATGACAGAGGTGTTGTTGGAAAAAAAGAAAAAAAGTTGAGGAGAGAACGAGTCATTAGTACTAGCAATAATGTTGGGGACGTTGGAATAAGTGACAGGTTCTTAACATACAGTATGGTCCACACAAACTAAAACTGTAGATGTGCTGGGCTCTTTATAGTTGTGTTTGTTGGAGTGATGGGAGGGTGCTTGAGATTACCTTAATCAAAATCTAAAAAGTAAAGTAAGGGCATTACAGAACTAACGGCACAAACCGTTTTGAAGATATTAAGATTCCTTATTTAGAGACAGTTTTGGCCATGGAACAGAAGATAACTTAAGCCCTCAAAAATGCTTTCAAATAGCAAGAGCAGCTGAACAGGATGTATCTAGTGGAAGAAGTAAAATAATGATACCCATTAATGAAGAATAAATACCCAGATTCAACCCAAAAAGACTAAGAAGGACAGACTCAAGAATAATTATTCTTATATATTTATGATCACAAGCAACATAAGCAGCAATATCCAATTAAAAAAAAAAAAAAAAGAAAAAAACAATGTCTAGCCCATGGAAAATCTTGCAAAAGATATAAGGAAAACTACTGCAACATTCCAAAAGGAAGAATAAGCTGCATATGGAGTGTGTACATATACACGGATCCAAAGAAGAGACAGATATTTATCATGCATCTTGTTGCATCGAAAGACACTAAATTTAGACACCTTAAAGAAGACTCACAGAAATTTGATTTTTATGCATGGAGTGGTGTCAATAGATTAGCAATCTATT